GATGCGAAAATCCACCCAAAGCTGTGCAGTTGAAAAGCTTGGGGTTCCCCCATTTTCCCTCTTTAAGCATCACACATGGTGTCTGTGAGTGTCACAAATGTGGGTATTCAGCTTGTTGTGAAACCCATGATCATGCCTACGTTGGTCCACATCGTTGTCTTGAGTGCTTCGTGATTGTAGCGTCTGCGCTTTTTGGCCATGACTTTGCCGAAGACACCGCCAAAGGTTCTGGCGCGCAGCACGAGCTTGTCTCCGAAATTGACTCGTCCTAAGTCCGCCTTGTCGACAGTGCGCCTTATGGCGCCAGCACAAAGGATGCCACAGTCTTGGTACCTCACTTCCTATTGAGTAGATGGCTCAGAAAGAGTCTGAACATGTCTGAACCATTTGTTTACCACCAAAATGATCCTCCCAAAAATCATAGACTCAAAAAACTCAGGGAGAAAATGTGCCAAATGTTCTACGCAGAAGCCTTTGGTTTGGGCTTCACAGTCTTGAGTACACGTCCTCCTCAATCCCAACCGATGCGCGAAAAGCAAATTTGCATGACGATGGCTTGTCAAAACTAGGGTCCTTTTCGGTATCCCTGTTAAAAAGGCTTCACGTACCGGCGGCACCAGCGTCCCGAAACATGCTATCTGTTTGACAACCCCAAGTGGCTTTCGTTGGCCTCTTGCAAAAGAGATACCCAAATCAAAATAAGACAGGCTTGCTTCTTCTAAAACGAAATTTGCACATCTGGGTTGGGACCTTTGCCAAAACGCCTGCCGACCTCACAGGTTGTTTTACTCTTCTGTGCAGCTCGATGCGGCATAAGCCGCGATGGATGGGTTGTCTCATAGCAGAATGACTGGGTGACCCGTTGAATGGGTTCCAACAAATGGGTTCAATTGGATGCCACACACATGATTGTCGCCGTCACTCAGAACCCATTTGTTGGAACCCGTCAAACGAGTCCCGTCTTGAGTGAGTCCACTTCTCGTTCTGAATTTTCGGAAGAGAATATACGGCCGCAGCACGAGTCAAGCTCACCTTCCCGTCCGAGTTGGTGGTTCACATTTCTAGTTTTGCACTTTGCCTCCCCACTTCCTCTTGGAACCAAATGGCAACCCGTCCACTCAGCCCCAAACCTCCCTCTTGCTTGGCAGTCGACCAAATCAGGTATCGGTTTTCCAGATGTTGCCCCCAACCCTCCAATCAGAAATCCGTGCTTTGGCTTGGGTGGTTAGGTGTTGCACGAAGCCGATCCCGGCCTGCCAGTGGCCCAGCACGGTCCTCGATCGACTCGCCGACCGAAACGACTCGCGCCGCATCGAGACGTGCCCGAAAAAGGAAACCAGTTGCATCCTGGGAAAACCAAACAAAAAAAAAATATTGTGATACTTTCCAACATGCAAAAGCAACTCCCACACTCATTTCGGGAAGAAAACCTTCAGCTCAGCCGCAAAATGAAAACGAAAGCCCACCCCAACCCTGTCCTCGGCACCAGCACTGGGCCCGCAGGCTTGCCGTACTGGCCATTTTGGAGCTGGAGGAATTCCCAAAACAAGTCGCGCAGAATTTGTTAGCAGATCTGAGGTGCTCTTGAAAAAAAACGGTTCCCTTTTTTACCGTCAACCCAAAACGAAATATGTTGGGAGACCCGAGGAATGGAAAGCGCGGGGCGGATGCCAATGAAATTCTTGCAAAGGACACTTGGGGCGGACACCGAAACTCCATTCGGTGATTGACCCATGGGTAGGTTCTTCCAGTCAGCTTGGCCATAGTCGGCCTGCGGGCTATCGCCGGCTATCGCCCCTTCATGGGGGGAAGAGAGAGGCCTCCCATCAGGCGAACTTCGAATCGCTCGCTCGAATCGGAGAGGTTGGTTTAAAGGGAAACACAAAGGAAACCAACCATTTGGGGGTTCCCTTATTTGGAGACAAACCCACTTCCCTCTCAAGCATCAAAGAGCCAGTAGGTGAGTCGCTGAAGCAAAATAAACATGGGACCCGGATGAGGCTCCTACAAGTCCTTTGCAAAGCTTTCAAGTCAAAGGATTTCTGTTTGGGCAGTGAACCCTGCAAGCTGAAAACGGAGCCTTCAACGCAAAGACTAGCGTATGGCTATCCCCTTCCCTGCTTTTGGAAAGGAGTTCTTCGTTGAAAGAGTCCTTCCCCACATTTAAGACTATCCTTCCTTCAAAAACAAAAACACGGTTAAGCCTTCTGAAAGATTGCTTTCCATTGAACTGTTCTTCCCGCTTTGCCTCTTTCATGTTTTGGGTTTCTTGCGACTTCCTTTCTGTTTTTCCCTTCTACACCCATGGTTGTTTCTACGACACCAAAGTGGTGGCTCTGCATGAAGAACAAAGTGGCCACCCTAAAAGGGGCCCCTTGGCCATTCGAAGAATCTGGCCAAACCCAAGCACCTCCAAGGGCAGCGGCGCCGTCACCGGCACGAAGCTGCGCATGCTCCCCATAGAAAGGGGCGACGGCCTAAAAACGGAAAACCCGAGAAGTTCCCAGTTGGTAGAAGTTCGCGAAATGATGTTGATGCTTGACTTTGCAGATGCTTGATATGGATGTTTTTGATTTGGCTGATTTCGTTGTTTGATGCAGGCTTGAAAACCCCCGAGCACTTTGTTCTCCATATTTCCTTTGAAAACATTACCAAAGGAAACTCAAACAGGGTGCCGTTCGAAACCACCAAAAACGAACAGCTACCGTTGAAAAATTTATACTTATTTCATTCCGTCCAACTGGGTCCACATGGTCACTGATTCGAGCCGGAGCCTTTGGCAAGAGACAACAATCCTCTCACATGCTGCAACTCATTACAGGCCATGCTGCAACCTAGGTTCAAACAAAGATGGTTTAAGCAACCAAATGCTTAAACGGAACATCCATGGATGGGTAGATGACTAGAATCACTCATCTTCCAGCAAGCGGACAAACGCAAGCGCTTCGGGAGAAGTTGCGATCAAATACAGACGGTAATAAACGCGCTTCCTGCCCTCGTTTCAATCCTCTTCGTGCAAGAGCTATAACAGCGTCGTCCGCACCACTTTCTCCTCCTCCCTCCTGCTCCTCCAGCTCGTCCTTCTCCTCCTTACTGCCTCACACGCTCACTCGCGCCTCAGTCATTCAGTCACTCAGTCGCTCACTCACTTGCGCACTCACTTGCGCACTCACTCACTCACTCACTCACTCACTCACTCACTCACTCACTCACTCACTCACTCACTCACTCACTCACTCACTCACTCACTCACTCACTCACTCACTCACTCACTCACTCACTCACTCACTCACTCACTCTTCTCTCTATCACCTCTCACATCACTCTCACTCTCTCTCTCACACTCACACCTCACACTACACTCAACTCATTCTTTAACTCTCACATCACTTCATCACACTCTCACACTTCTCATTCTCACTCTCATTCACACCTCACTCTTCACTCTACTTCACTTCTCACTCTCACACTCATACTCTACACTCACACTCAATCACACTCACACTCATTTCTCACTTTTCACTCGAGTTGAGTGTGAGAGTTGTTTAATTGTTGAGAGTGAGGTGGGGTGGTGTGTGTGACGTTGTGAATGTGTGTATGATGTGAGAGTGAGAGTGGAGAGTGAAGTGGAGAGTGAGAGTGAGAAAGAGTGAGAATGAGAGTGTGTGAGTTGTGTGTGAGAGTGAGAGTGAGAGTGAGAATGAGTGTGAGTGTGAGTGTGAGTGTGAGTGTGAGTGCGAGTGTGAGTATGAGTGTGAGAGTGAGAATGAGAGTGAGAGTGAGAGTGAAGAGTGAGAGTGAGAGTGAGAATGAGAGTGTGTGAGTGTGAGTGTGAGTGTGAGTGTGAGTGTGAGAGTGAGAGTGAGAGTGAGAGTGAGACTGAGAGTGAGTGTGAGCGTGAGTGTGAGTGTGAGTGTGGGTGATTGAGTGTGAGTGTGAGTGTGGGTGTGAGTGTGAGTGTGAGTGTGAGTGAGTGTGAGTGTGTGTGAGTGAGTGAGTGAGTGAGTGAGTGAGTGAGTGAGTGAGAGTGATATAGAGAGTGTGTTGAGTGTGAGTTGGGAGTGTGGGTGGGAGAGTGAGAGGTGAGATGGTGAGAGTAGAAGTGAGATTTGAGAATGAGGAGTGAGAGTGTGAGTGTGAGAATGAGTGTGTGAGTGTGTAGTGTCAGTTGTGAGTGTGGTTGGTGTGAGAGTGAGAGTGAGATGTTTGAGGATTGAAAAGTAGAGAATGTGATGTGGATAAATGAGAGGTGTTGTTGTGTGTTGAGTTGTGAGTTGTGAGTTTTGAGTGTAGTCAGTTGTGAGAGTGAGAGTGAGAGTGAGAATGAGAGTGAGAATGAGAGTGAGTGTGAGTGTGAGTGTGAGAGTGAGAATGATCACTCTCACTCTCACCTGCACTCTCACGCCCTCTCGCTCTCACTCTCACTCTCTCACTCTCACTCTCACTCTCATTCTCACTCCCACACTCACACTCACACTCACACTCGCTCTCATTCTCACTCTCACTCTCGCTCTTCACTCTCACTCTCACTCTGACTCTCACTCTGGGTGAGAGTGAGAGTGAGAATGAGTGTGAGTGTGAGTGTGAGTGTGAGTGTGAGTGTGAGTGTGAGTATGAGTGTGAGAGTGAGAGTGAGAGTGAGAGTGAGAGTGAGAGTGAAGAGTGAGAGTGAGAGTGAGAATGAGAGGTGTGAGTGTGAGTGTGAGAGTGAGAGTGAGAGTGAGAATGAGAGTGAGAATGAGAGTGAGTGTGAGTGTGAGTGTGAGAGTGAGAATGATCACTCTCACTCTCACCTGCACTCTCACGCCCTCTCGCTCTCACTCTCACTCTCTCACTCTCACTCTCACTCTCATTCTCACTCCCACACTCACACCCACACTCGCTCTCATTCTCACTCTCACTCTCGCTCTTCACTCTCACTCTCACTCTGACTCTCACTCTGAGTGAGAGTGAGAGTGAGAATGAGTGTGAGTGTGAGTGTGAGTGTGAGTGTGAGTGCGAGTGTGAGTATGAGTGTGAGAGTGAGAATGAGAGTGAGAGTGAGAGTGAAGAGTGAGAGTGAGAGTGAGAATGAGAGTGTGTGAGTGTGAGTGTGAGTGTGAGTGTGAGTGTGAGAGTGAGAGTGAGAGTGAGAGTGAGACTGAGAGTGAGTGTGAGCGTGAGTGTGAGTGTGAGTGTGGGTGATTGAGTGTGAGTGTGAGTGTGGGTGTGAGTGTGAGTGTGAGTGTGAGTGAGTGTGAGTGTGTGTGAGTGAGTGAGTGAGTGAGTGAGTGAGTGAGTGAGTGAGTGAGTGAGTGAGTGAGTGAGTGAGTGAGTGAGTGAGTGAGTGAGTGAGTGTGAGTGTCACTTCGAGTGTGAGTGCGAGCGTGATCGTGAGAGTGGGAATGAGTGTGAGTGTGAGTGTGAGTGTGAGAGTGAGAATGATCCCAAATGGATTCTGTTCTACCTGAGAGGCTCCTGGCACTCGTCCGTCCAGGAAATGACCTCGTCCTGCGAAGGGTTCGAAGTCTAAAACGCTGCGTGCAGGCGTGTGGCTGCAAAATAATGACCCCTAGATATGCTTGCAAAATGCCCAGCAGCTGCGTTTCTGCAAGGCGAGCTAAAAAAAACAGGGAAAAAAAAGAAAGCCAAGCCAAACCAGCCAGAAAGCCAGCCAGGAGCCAAACCAAACCAGCCAGAAAGCCAGCCAGGAGCCAAACCAAACCAGCCAGAAAGCCAGCCAGAAGCCAAGCCAAACCAGCCAGAAAGCCAGCCAAAGCCAACCAAACCAGCCAGAAAGCCAGAAGCCAAGCCAAACCAGCCAGAAAGCCAGCCAGAAAGCCAGCCAGAAGCCAAGCCAAGCCAGCCAGAAGCCAACCAAAAAAGCCAGCCAGGGTTTCCTTTGAGGGCGCTCGCCTTGCAGAAACGCAGCTGCTGGGCATTTTGCCAAACCGCATATCTAGGGGTCATTATTTTGCAGCCACACGCCTGCGCGCAGCGTTTTAGACTTCGAATCCTTCGCAGGACGAGGTCATTTCCTGGACGAGTGCCAGGAGCCTCGCAGGTAGAATAGAATCCATTTGGGAAACCCCCTCTAAAGAGAGAGGTGCTATGTTCTGTGTTCGCGCTTTCGCGCGGCGCAGTCTGCAGCTGTCGCTGCAGTTCGCGCAGTTCGCTGCTCCGGGCTGCGCATTATTGATCCAATGTTGCGCCATTGTTGCTTCAAGACAATTCAATGTTGCCTCAAGAATGGCATCATAGCCACCCTGCCGCGCCACCTGCCCGGCATAGAAGCCTCCAGCCTGCCGAGCCTGCACCACACCGAGGTCGGAATTCCGACTTCGCTCTACACCGAGGTCGGAGTTCCGACTTCGGTATTTTGCCCGAAAAACCCATCACCGGGCCAGCGCCGAAGGTCCGGCAGCGGGTCGGTCCTCGCAGCCTCGCTGCCGGAGTGTTTTTTTTCACCATTCACACGCCCTGCCGTCAATCCTGGCGTGGGCACAGGATTGCTCCACTCAATCCTGGCGTGGGCACAGGATTGCCCCACTCAACCCTGGCGTGGGCACAGGACTCAATCCTGGCGCGGGCACAGGATTGCCCGGTGTCTCCCTGAAAACACTGGGGGCGCAGTGCTGTACAGCACTGCGCTCCCAGACTCGCCGCCCGGCTTGCCCGGACAAACTATGTCAGCGCAGTGCTACACAGCACTGCGCTGACATACTCGCCGCCAACAGGATTGCTCCACTCAACCCTGGCGTGGGCACAGGATTGCCCCGGTGTCTTCCAGAAAACTCCGTCAGCGCCCTGCTGTATAGCAGTGCGCTGACAGACTCGCCGCCCGGCTTCCCGCCTTCAAATTTGGCAAGTAACGCAAAGGAAATGGGGAAGATCAAGCTGTTTCCTACGACAGAGTATAGCAGTAAGCAGCCCTCTGACCCCGTGGTGCCCCTGGTGCCATGCACGGGCATCTTCCTCGGGCCATCAAAATCGGGCAAAACCGTGGCTCTGATCAGCCTGATTCTGGAGCAGTATCGCGGCGTCTTTGAGAGAATCTCGTGGGGAAGACGTTCATGCTGTCCACGAACCTCAGCGGGCCCCAGCTCATCTGCAGGTACTTCTCGCCCGACTTGCAGAGGACTCGGAGGCAGAGGTGGCTGTAGTCGCACTGCTTGATCGCGGCCTGCAGGGCGCACCAGTGGCCGAGGGACCTGGGCTTTGTGGAGGGCTGCGACGCGAGGCCTCTCTCTTTAGAGGGCGTTTCCCAAATGGATTCTATTCTACCTGCGAGGCTCCTAGCACTCGTCCGTCCAGCATTTGACCTCGTCCTGCGAAGGATTCGAAGTCTAAAACGCTGCGTACAGGCGTGTGGCTGCAAAATAATGACCCCTGGATATGCTTGCAATTTGGCTCCAGGTTGCATTTCAAGCGAGCCAACCTTTGCAGGGCTAAGAAAAACAAAAAAAAAAGAAAACAAGGGGTCCAAAAAAAAGGGGTCCCCGAAAAAAAGGGAAAAGGGGT